TTTTTGTTGACCTTTGTCCATGGAAGGTCCCTGCAAAATTTCATTGAAATTGGTTCAGGGGTTTTGGAGAAGAAGTCGAAAATGTAAATTGTTTACGGACGCACGACGGACGACGGACGACGACGGACAAAAGGCGATCGCAATAGGTCACATGAGACTTTGTCTCAGGTGACCTAAAAATCAAGAGCATAGTGAAGTATTATATGCCTGGGAAATACAAGTCACCAGCACTTAGACGATTCTGTGCTAATTGGATTATGATATTCAAATTGTTAGGTTATAGCTTTTATAGCACTTCCAAATGGAATTAATACTGCAGGGTTTTTTCTTCTAAAATCAAGTTCCTAGTACTCGGAATAGATCTCAATCTTTCTGGTAACAGAAAGTATCAAAATATTGAAATGTTCCAAAAAAGAAAAGAAAAACTGTAGTAAGAAAATTGGAACTATATCTTGAAGGTGTTGAAATGGGAAAACATCTTTTACTTCAATTTGTCACTTTTATATGGATTATCTAGCTTTTGTCGTGTCAGAGTTTAAAGTGCACTGGAGGAACAAAAAAAAAGACTGTAACTATGGTAAAATGAAACACAGGGTTCACATTTTACAAAGGCAAATCTTCATACTATTGTTATGGTACAAACAACCAGCAGAACTGCTGGACCAGTTCCAAACATAGTAAGATGTTTACAGACTGACAGACCGATGGAACTCTTGTCAGGCGTATAAAGATGTAAATACAAAGTAACTTACTTTATGTCGTTCACTGGCAAATAAAATGGATGCTCTGTGGAATTTACATAGTGGGTTACTAGGGTCTGTCTCTATGGCTTTGTTCAGAGTGGTGAGGGCGCTCTCAGACTTCTGTTGGGAATGCTGTACCTGCAAATGTGGAAACACCAGTCAATCTCAGGTGTAAATACACAATCTAAAATAAAGACAAATTTGAATCTCTTGAATGACAAAAAAACCCTCAATAATAATCAAAGGAAGAAAACTCTTAACAAACACAAACTAGAACTGTCATCCGGAGGATAACTGATACCTCCCACTCCCCAAAGCAGATGCTGCTGGTATTTTATACATCATTTAGTGAACTTGACTTTGGGGTTTCCAGAAAGTTGTTTGGCATAAATGACTGTAAGTCCCGTAAAAAGTGCTGAAATCTGGAATTAAAATGCTAGTGCACAACTAAATAATATACTGATCGGTCAAGTGAAGATTCATTAAAAACTGCCATTAACATTGCCTTGTGACCGACTACTCACCACCCCTATATGTGCCATTAACACTGCCTTGTGACCGACTACTCACCACCCCTATATGACAGAGAAGTGCTGGACTTTGCGGGTTGATCAGGAGAGCTTTCCGGTAGTGAACTTCAGCCAGCGTAAACTTCTCCTGCTTAAAATAGATCATTCCAACACCGTACCTGCAAGAAAAATGTCATGAATAGCTATAAATAGATCCTGCCGTCCTTCCTCAATGTGAAGTTTACCGGTCATAATCTATTTAATCTCAAATAGTATACAGATTTTAAATCATTCCTATTTGATCCTTTAAAACATAAGTCAATATCTCTCAAAATACAACTCAAACCTACACCAATCATTTTGCCTTTAACATTCTCCAACATTTACTACTGGTGCTTTAAAAATGTTGTTAAAAAATACACCCACCATGCATTGTAGTGACGAGGGTTAACTCGGATTGCGTTTCTGAAACACGACATTGCCTTGTCAAGTTCCTCAGTGAATACGTACTCATGGCCGAGTAACGTGTAGGCGTAGGCAAAGCTCGGGTCAACCTGGTGGTAAAGTAGACACACTGTTATCGCAGGAGTCAAGTCAACAAATTGTATTTTAGTTAAAGTCAAGTCTGGTTCAAAATCTCGGGAAAAAGCAAAGTAACAAAAGAAGAGTCAATACTGAAGTAAATGAGCGAAACCAAACTTACTGAACGTGTATTCCTCGAATAATTTGCTTTGTCCCGACTGTGTTCTTATGTATTCTTTGTAACTTAACCTCAGATTACTCAACTGACATTGCTCCAATACCCCATATTCCTCGAAATCTGATATCACAGACCTCTCAAAACCTTAGTGTTAACCTCTCCATTCGTCGAACAGGTGGACACAGATTGCAGTCCACGCTCATTGTGATTATACAGGTGTCGTCAGGACGTCAGATAATTAAAGGATTAACGGCAGTTCAGTACCTCTACTGTTACCTTATCGTAACTGTATAAACATTTTGTGTACATATTTATTACTTCTAGACAATGTTTTGACATGGATGGTTTGGCGGTAATGATGTTTCACTTGGAGTGTGAAACCATATTTTGGCATGGCAATATTAACTCTTTCCGTACCGCAACTCCAGTCCGGATTCGGTACCGGATGTACTTTTTAGACTCGCCCCCGCGCATATAACAAAATGGCGGATTATTAATGTTCTTTTTAGACTAGGTGTAACTGCCACAAAAATTAAACAGGTAACCGTGAACAAATATTGTTATTGTTTCATGTTCTGGTTTACACAAACACTTCTTCATTTTCGCAGCATAATGACCAACTGGCAGCTGATTATGACTGAGAAATCAACATTTTTCTGGCAATAAATGATACGATTCCTTGTATTTAACACAGCGTTGTAGTGCAGGTTTGAAATGGGGATGAATTATGGTTACGAATATGGAGTCGTTGAATTTTTTTCTAAATACAAGTAGATTTCATCAAGACTTATATTAGAATATTCAAATTTACTTCCATAAGTCTCAACAAATATCTGATGATGAATTTACGAGTGTTCGTTACGAATTAAGTTGCCGCCATCTTGTTTACATTTGAGGCACCAAACGCAAACATCTTGCGGCAACTGCGAAAACTTTAAGTCACAAAATAAAAAAGGGTACTATGCACAAATAAAAGTATTTCTTCCAATCTGATGGGTTCTGCTTTAATCGACAATTAATTGTTTTTTCGCGACAGTCTCGTGCGATAACCAACTAAACATCAGGCAGGTTACATCAAAGTCTCTTGTCGTGTGTACACAACAACGGGGATGAGACGGCCCTTTATTTTGTCGTCTATACACGACAACGGGGACCAGGATGACATATTGTTGTCGCGTGTACACGACAACGGTACGGAAAGAGTTAAGCGGAAATCACATAGCAGATTCCCGACCATCTTAAAAAGATATTTAAACTTGAAAATGTCGTGATTGTTTATTACATTGTCAATCCACATTATGGTAACAGGGTTTCAAGATGTTTCTTCATTTTATAATAATCGCAATCGAATGAAGTATGGCAGACTATGTCAAAATGACAAGTACATTACACATACAGCTTTTTAAAATTCTATTTCCTTTCTTAATACAGATGGCTACAATCCTGTTTTCGTTGTTCAGCTATTTTACATCTTATTAGATGTTGTCCTCCTTATCAAACTTCTTTTATTACGTCTATCCACTACTATCCGCGATATCTGCAGTGATTGTAACGTCTGTCATTTAATCTGTTAATAAAATATGATGCCAGACTAACCTCGTATTCATCGAGATACAACACATTACTTACAGCTGAATTACAAAATCCTGACCTTGACCAAAATCCTGTAACAGACTAGGGTATGCAGGGCACATTCAGTATCTAATGTATGGATCAAAATGAAGTAGCTGTAGCTGAGACCCAAATTTCAGTTTTGCAGAAACAGCTCGAAACAACAGAAGAACCTCCAATCACTCAACGAGGAGTTATCTCTTCCCCCCCCC